CATAGCCCTAAGTATGCAACAAATATTGATCAATGCATGTGAGAAAAACTGTCTAGGTTCAAGAAACAATGACCAGAAGGGATAAGCGGACCTATATCCACAGAGTAAAGACTGCTCCCACCAGCCAGACTCTACCCAGATCTTTACCCTAGTTTAATAAATAAATACTGTCTTTGTATTTGATTATAGCACTAAGTAAAGCACTTAGATGGATCTTTCCATAATACTAAGAGATAATTAACTGTAAACTAACTATTGTTCACACAACAGATCTTAAAAGCAAGACTGATAAGGATCAAATGATTTCAAAGTAACTTAAGCACACTTTAGAACAAAAAGCAAGAATATTTATAGGATCATATACCTAGCACAAATAAGAAAAAAATTCACATCTGGCATCTAATCAAACATTACATAGTGTGCAAGAAGAAGAAACATATTACCAAAAATAATGAGAAAAATCAATCACAAGTGACCCAAAATTGATACGGTTGTTAAAACTAGCAGCTAAAAAGAATATAGAGCTACACTAACTGTTCTCCATGTGTGCAAAAAGCTTAGAAAGATTGAATGTAATATACAGAGATGGAAAATTTAAAAAAGACTCAGCTTGAATTTGTAGAGATGGAAATTGTAAAAAAAAATGAAAAGCAAATTAGAAGGCATTAATTACATATTAACATTACAGAAGAAAATACTAGTGAACTTGAAGATAAATGAAAATTGAACACAATGAGAAAAACAACTTTAGAAGTATAAACAACTCACTGTGGGAAAACTTCAAGCAGCTAAATAAACAAACAATTGGAATCCCCAAAGGAGAAAAAAAAATGAACAGAAGGAAATAATATTTGAAGAAATAATGACTAAAGATGTTTCAAATTTTGTGACCATAAAAATACACAGATCAAGAAGCTCAATAAATGCTAATCCACAAGAAAGAGAAAGAAAACTAGACCAACACCTGCCACAAAATGTTCAAATCATGTTTAAAGAAAATATCTTAAAAACAGAGAAAAAAAGACACATTACACACAGAGGGAAAAACAGTTGACTTCTTATTGCAAAAGAGAAAGCAATAGCAATATTTTTAGGTACCTAATAAAAAAAAGTTTGAAAATATGAAAAAGCAAAAAACTGGTAGAATTGTAACAAGAAATAGGCAAATTCACAAATGACGGGAAAAATACTTTAAAAGACATAATGATCAGTATCAAGAGTGAAAGAGAGGACATTACTATAGATTCCACAGATATTATAGAATTACAAGTGAATAATATGAATAACTTTATGCCAATGATTCAACTGCTCAAATGAAATGAACATAATCTTGAAAACATAAACTTCATTACTCAAGTAAAAACATATAACCTGAATATGTATATATGTTAAATTTAACTTATTTGAATTCAAGTGGTAACAAATAACCTGAATAACCTAATATCTATTAAATAATTTTAATTTATAATTAAAACCCTTCCCACAAAATACAAAACAAACAAACAAGACCCTCCAGGACCACATGATCTCACTAGTGAATCCTAGCAGACATTTAAGGGGAAAATAATAGCAATTCTATGCAAATTTTTTTAGAAATTTGAGTAAGGCCTCTATTACACTAATACTAAAACCAAAGAAAGTACAAGGAACTACAATCCAGCATCTCTCATAAACATGCAAAAATCTTTAACAAAATGATAGCAAGTCAAATCTAACAACATTAAAAGGAATAGTACATGATGAGAAAATGGGTTTTATGTTAACCATTGTATTAAGAACTACAAATGAGAAACCATATGATTGTTTCAGTAAACACATCAAAAAAGCTCTTTAAAAATCCAACATACCTTCTTGATAAAAATTCTTCCACAATCTATGACTAGAAGGGAACTTCCTCAACTTGATAAAAAAAAAAAGCATTATAGAAAAAACAGCTAATATCGTAATAGTGAAACACTAACAGCATTCTCCTTCTCACCAGAAACATGGAGTTCATGTCACCAATTCCATTCAATGTTTTACTAGATTCTAGCAAGTGCAATAAGGAAATAAGAAACAAGTGGCATTATCAGTTATGTAGAGAATCTGACAGAATCTATTTTAAAGCTGTAGACAATAAGTGAACTTAGAAAACCTTCAAAATATGAGACAAATCTACAAAATCCTCCAATTTTTGTCTGAGAAAGTCTTCTTCACTTTTTTTTTTTTTTTAATTTATTTATATAAGCACTGGGTACAGTCAGAAGCGCAGGAGGGTGAGAAAATTCACCAGAGCCAGAGCGGGAAACAGAACAGGCAGACTGATGAAATACACTGCTAAGCAGAGCAGCGGGCGCAGCAGGAGAGGTCTGCATGCCACGTGGGACCCTTGCCGGTGGCCGGGGATCAAATCAGCACTGCAGAGCCTGCGGGCAGCTTTGAAGCCCAGTGCTCAACTGCTGCACCACCAGGGGAGGCCCAAATCTTCTTCACTTCTACAGGATAATTTTCTTAGACAAAATATTCTACATTGGAAGCTTTTCAAAACAAGTCTCCATCTCTCTGTTTACCATTCAGTTCTTGCATGTTGTCTACATTTCCCTTTACAACTCTTAAAATAATAATCTAAGTTCTTTCAAAATTTGACTGCAGGGCATGATGTATGAGGTTAGAAGACTAAGTCTGATTGGCCTCAGACTGGTTTTATTTTTCTCTGGCTAGGATGAGGCTGTACCCAGTGCTACTCTAGCTGTAGTGCAAAAGCTTCAGCTCCCTTTAGTGTCATGGGTTCTGTCCTCTGTTCTCTTGGTTTTCCCCAAAAACTCCTCAAACAGATGTGAATCTTGCAATTCTTTCAGCTGTTATTTTACAGAAGCCCAGTCAATATGGTGGTCAGGTGCAGGGACAGGAAGTGTTCATAGTCCTGAAAAGATCTTCAATCTTTCAGTGAGCTGTGCCCCTGGGATGTGAGTAATTCTCAGCATGTACTTGCCCCTTAGGTAAAATAAGAAAGCTACAGGGTGCTGGATCTCAGTAAGCCCCTTTCCCAAGTCAGACATGACACTCTGGTAAAGCTTTTCTTTTGGTCAGGAGGCATTTGTGGTAGAGAAAGCTCTAGCCTTAATTCAAGGTGGTGGTTCTTCCCAGCTGCAACCAAATATGAGGGAACTTCACTCTGATCTTCATAATGGGAACATGGTGGTTCATCTGGAAGGAAAGCCATGTAAGTGCACTGGCCTCTTAGTCTGGGCCTCTAACTTTTAACTCAATCCAACATACAAGTAACCTGCAGGAAGTATTTAGAGCTACTATCTAATATCCTACTAGTTAATATTCTCCTAAGTTGTGATTCTCTGATTCCACCCACCTGTCTCTCCAAGTTCCAACAATAGCTTGCCTTGTGACCTCAATTCTCTAAAAGACCTAAGAAAAGTCACTGATTTCAATTTGTTCACCTTTTTTCTGTCATGAAGGGGAGACAACTTCTAAGCTCTTTACATGTCCAAGCAGAACCAGAAGTCTCCAATCACTTGGAAAAGTTACTTAAAATGTTAAAAGCATATCAACCATATAATCCAGCCATTTCACTCCTAGTTATTTACCCAAAAGAAGTGAAAGTACATGTGAATACAAAGACTTATATACAGATGTCCATAGCAGGTTCATTTGTAATAGGAAAAACTGGAGCAACCTTAATCTCTAGTGCGTGTAAATGGATAAACATATGTGACATATCCGTACCATGAAATACCACATAGCATTAAAAGGAATGATTTGATACATATAACAACAGGAATTAGTCTTGGAACAATTTTTTTTAAGTGGAAGACAAAATTAAACACATATTGTATGACTGCTTTTATGTAAAGATTATAAGAAATGCAAACTATTCCTAGTGACATAAAGAGATCAGTGGCTTTCCTGAAGATGGGTGGAAGAAGAGGCAGCAGGTAGGAAATCAATGAGGCACGTTTGATTGATAACTACTTTACTTTCATTGTGCAGGTGATTTCATGGGTGATTATGTGAAAACTTTGCCAAACTGTATACTTTACATATTTGGTTTATTTTATATCAATTATACAACAATAGAGCTTTTTTAAAAAGAAAAAAAAGTTGTCTTAGCTTCATCTAACACTAGATAGGGATTGGTTACAGAATAAACACAATTTTATCACTGAAAAAGAAAAAATAAAGTTTACCAGTAGACCATCTTTATACTATTTATTGAGAATTAATTCAGACCCAGAAGACATATGTAATGCATCATAGCATCATAGAAAATTATATTTTTAGCAAATATACAAGAACTTACCTATCTAGTCAAATAAATGCTTTTTTCCCCCAAACACAGAATAAGGATAAAAATTCATATTCTGATATGTTACAACTGTGCAACACAATTTTTGGACCATCTCCTGGATTTGAAATTATTTTCAGTCCCAGTTTATGAACAACATAAGGAAACTACATTTATTGTTTTATGATCACACCTGGTAAATGAAATCCTTATTACATTTCCCACTTTAAAGCTTGGATTTCCAAAATGTATTTGAAAACAACCCAATTTTGACACAGGGTAACACACTGCCTTTTCACAATTTCCTCGGTGACTATTTTTTCAAGAACATTATCTTGGAACAAAATTGACTTTTCATTGCCTCCAATGGATGTACACACTGACTGAAAAATAAGACATTTCAGAATCATAAAAGTACATGTTTATAAGGGAAAAAAGAAGTAATAACTGAAGTAAAATGTTCTTATGCAATAAGCTTGAAATTGATGCTGTCAAAAATAATATAAACTCCCCCATTTCATTAGCATTCACTTTCTCTCTCTTTGGGATAACTTTAGAATTTTTTTATTACTCAACTATGTAATATTAGATACATCAGAGGAACATTTATAATGATATTTATGTTATAATGTATGTAAACTGGAACCGGTTAGTATACCCACCATTCAAAGAAAGAACTGGACATTGCCAATTCTGGGCTTTCACTGAACCCACTCTCTCTGCTCCCATTACACCCTTCAGTCCCTCCCCAGGAATGCCATGCTGAATTCTGGCTTCTTCATTCCTGTTTCCCCAAATAATTGATCGTAATTCTATCTATCTGATTGGGCTCGCTTGTGCTGCACAAAAAAAGTTTCATACTGTGTGTAGTTTTAGTGGCTTTTTTCATTCAGCACTATGTTCCTAATAACTGCATGTAGCTGTGTGTGATTCACTAGTTTACCGCTGTGCATATTTCATTGTGTAGACATAACAGTTTGCTGACCCATCCTTGCCGATGTGTGGTTGGGTTGTTTCTAGTTTGGTATTATATCCTTCCATGTAAGCACACACAACAGTTCTTCAGGACCATGGATCTCAAACCGAACAACAGAATCACATGCAGATTCTTGGATCCTATCCCAAGATAGAAATTCTGAGTCAGCGGTTCTTGGACCCAGGAATCTGTAATTTTAAGACACGCGAGTCTCCAGACATCACATTTTAAATAAACTATGTTCAAATACACACCTGAAAGTGCTGGAGCAGGGAGACAAGCATTCAACCAGACTTGGAAGATTGTGCTTTCCAATTTGCTATATTATTTTGTATCTAAACCAACAGTCCTAAAGAAAAGTTCCAACAGTCTATAGACTTGGCAGTTTTTCCCAGTCCAATGTTTGTGAAATGATATTCCATTTTGGCCTTAATTTTCATTTCCTGGTTTATTTATTGACTATTCAAGGTTCCTCTTTTGTGATACACCTATTCATGTCTGCTGACCATTTTTCAATTATTCTATAGACATGTCGAATTTTTTTATTGCCCTGGATAATAGTCCTTTGTGGATTACACATGTTGCAACTACAATTTGTGGTTTATTATTTCACCCTTCTAAGGTGTCCTATAATGCACAGATAATTTAACATGGTTGAATATGTCAATCTTTTCTAGTACAGTTAATGTATTTTTGGGTAGTTTAATAAACACAGTCACAAAAATGTTTAATGTCAATGTTTTTCCTTTAATATGCAATACTGGGATTGATTTTGCTTGGTATGGGGAAGGGACCCAAATTCATTTATTTTTTTAATATGAATAACCAGTAGCACTAAAATCATTAATAGGCTACTTCCTTTCCACATATAATCTGTTGTGAGAGTATATGAACTGAAATATTTCACATATGCATGAATGTATTTTGATACATCAATTTTTCCATCCCTTTGTCAATAACACACTTTTTCATTTACTACAGGCTTACTAGACTCAAAGCAAATCTCTTTCTCTTTTCCTCCTCTTCTCTTCTGGGCATTTGTCACCTAATTTTTGTTCTTTATGCCCTGATACCTTTATCAATCCTCAGACGTGAGTAAATCTCATCTCTTTAGAGAAACCTCCTTGACCAACTTGTCTAAAGTAGTTTCCTTGCCATTCTCTATTACATCTCACAAGTCAAAAACGGGCAGCATTTGTCCACTACACAGAGTTCTTAGAGTTCCCAAGAATCGGTTTCATCTATATTCATTTCTACCACAAGTTGCTTAGATATTTTAATAAAATTAATTTTGGATTACACAATACTTTGGTTTCATCTGTACTTTCTTCCCACCATAATATTAACATATTATGACTGCATATAACAATACAAGTGTTCCCAATTTTGGAATGTTTTTAACTGCTAAATTAAAAGAAAACAGAAAAATCTAAGAATAGGGAGCGATATCTTAGTAGCATTTTGAGGAAATCATATGAAACTCTTGAATCCTTAAATTTTTTATACTGCGAACTTTTGAATGTGACTATAGATTTAATTATGAAATTTAGACAACAATCATGTTTTTGAAGAGTAAAGTAAAAGTTAAATCAGTGGAAAATTTCTGCCTCTTGGGGACTGACTGTACCCTGTACCTGTACAAAGTAAGCAGTAAGCATGACTAGTTTAAAAAGGTACCATTGACAGGCAGCAAAGTCCAGGTAGTGTGTGAACACCTCCGGATGCAAGTCCTGCAACAATCACAGAGTTTCATTTACTTGGGAGAGAAAAGATCAGTGAGTAAACAGCCAACTGCCAATCCTGATTTGCATTCTCCCACAGAAAATGGGGCCTACTTTCTGTTACAAGAATTTTTTTAACTTTCAAAAAAGCTTAACTATAATAATAGAAATAGCATCACATGAAATGGAGAAACTTTGACAAATGCCTGTTTTATGTCAAATTATTAACATCCTTCAGAAATTTTGGGGGTGGTGATAGAGGAATGAAGAAGCAAAATCATGTATCGTTTAACTTTAGCCTAGTAGACAGATAGGAGATACATCTGATCTTTTAAGTCTAACATTAAAATTTTTCAAGTGACAATACTGTAATAAATTTGTTCAACTTCTACATCTTTTTTATGTTTAATAGCCAATAACAATGTTTCATAAAAGCAAAACATGAAAAAAGCTAAATAATAAAGACTCCTAATAACATAAAACATAATTACAATAGTAATTACAGAACATGGTTTTTAATGAATTTCATATTGCAATAAAGACACTGAACACTTAAAAACAATTACATCAATACAATAAAAACACTTGCTTCCACGTAACACTTACAAATGCATACTTCCCCCCCCAAAGAAAAACATTTTTTCACAGATTTAAGTAACAAATGATTTACACAGGATTCTTCAAAATTCCAAACTATATACAAGAATTTTGGACTCTACAGAAATGAATGTGCAGTGGTTGAGAGAGTGCTGCTTTGTCCAGCAACACATCTCTTATGCATTCTCTATCAACACACGTTTTTAGTGACCACGTATTTTCCTTCCATTGTAAATGAAATTCTGGACACGTCAGCATTTAGGACAAAACTTCCCATTTTCAAACACTATTTCAGATGAAATCACATGTGACTGATCACATGACTCAATTTCAGCTACACATTAAAACATACACGCACAGACTCACGCACACATGCACTCACTAGCCCCAATCTCCTTCATGACTCCTGAGAACACCAGCACAAGGCACAGAGCAGCTGGATGGAATCACGTCAGAGGATCATGTGGTGTCGGCAGTATCTTATCCTGCTCCTGAGAACTCGTTCGAGCACCATGAGGTCTACCGCCTAATAGAGACAGTGAGAATGTCGCTTCCTCCCCGCCCCCATCAGTGAGGGAAGGTGGGTAGCTGCTGGCCATGAAGCGTGCTCATCTGTACAGAACTAAATGGCCATCACAAATACACATTTTTAAAAACTTCAAATTTTTATCTGTTGTGTAAGTTTGACTTAGTTGTGTGCATACAATTTTCAATGCTCCTAACAATGATTCTAAGACACCCAGACATTCAAATTGAAACAAAAAAAAGAAGCCAAGTGTGGCTGTGCAACTTATCCTTCAGAAGCCATGGTGCCTATATCTTTGGGGTGTGGTGCCATGCAAAGAGATATGGCAATCAGACACTGTGTCTGACTTCGCTGTCAGTGTGACCAGGAGAAATATCAGGCTTTTAAACACAATAAACTCTTGAGATTTAAAGTTAAAATTAAAGTTGCTCTAAGACACTTGCTATTTGTCCTTTAGCAGCAACCGCAATTCTTATTACATCATTAATGGCTTTTCCTAGTCCCACCTCCCAAAAAGACCTGTGTGAATCATTTCAAAATCATTCCAATGACATAGAGCTTAAGTTCCTAAGATCAGCTACTGCGGAACCTGCACACAGGGCCACTGTGAGATGTGTCCACTCTTGGGTAGCTTGCAGCCAAGGACAACCTGCACACATTGCTCACACACCACCACACCAAAGGCACTCCAGCAGGTGCCAGCCCAGTCCTTCCTTCCCAGGAAACAGGGAATAGGGGCCACCCAGGACCATTTTTTCCACATGGCCAATCTCCGAGTGAACATATTCAAAAGATTAAAAATCTGGGGGGAAGTATACTGAGATGTCTCTTTATCAAAACTGTAACTTACTAAGAAACATGAACTTACAAACACCAGATGACAGTAACTCCTAAGAAGGCAAGAGTGACAGGCTCACTCTGGCAGTGGGAGGATTGGCACTGAGAGGTGTCCCAGCTGTGAGACAAAAGCATCTTGTTACCTGCAAACCACTGCTTTCACTATCCCCTGGTCAACCTAATCAAAGAACCTTTTATTTTCAGGATACATTTGCTATGATTGTCCTTCTTGCCTCCTGAATTGATTTCAATATTCCAGCTATCAGTCAAAAGTGCTTTAGCTAGGCAACAGTGAGACTCCCAAGTTTTCCAAATGCATTTATTTTTGAGGTAGTACTCATTTATTTGCATTGTTGGCTCTCAAATACCACCAAGGAAGTGAACCCATTTAGAAAATATGCAAACCAAAGGGTGTAGAAAATAAATAAGGTTTTGTTTTCAGGTAGCAGGGCCTTCTTAAAAAGGTCAAGTCACATTCAATGGATAAGTCATTTGAAACTTCTAAAAACTGTTTATACCATGACTATAGACTAAAGTGCTTTAAATTTTGCTCATTATCTGAAATCAGTGATTAGAATCATTAAATTTTAGAATTTGCTCATGAAATTTCAGGAAATTGAAATGATTTTCCATAAAAAAGAACAGAATCTTTTCTTTTCACAAGAAATTCTCTGAATGTTATAGTTCAATATTCTATGCTATTTTTTTAAACTTCTAAAACCCAGCTAATTTTACAGAACTGTAATAGAATATAGAGCTGAAGCTGGATTACATGATAGCACATGCTGAAACCTCACACAGAAATAAACATGGAGTTTTTGCTCATTCCTGCCATTCATCAAGCCTATACAGCTCTGCAACCTGCCTGGTACAAGGTAGGTATGTATTATTCCAGAAATGCAACAGACTAAGTACACAGGTTCACATTTAACTCACACAAATGTAATGCCCTCCTGTCATCTGTCAAATGCCAGTAACTTAAAATACACAAGGTGCTATGGGGAGAGGGGCTTCATTTCTACTGGCCAGAGGATGCCAACACATATAAGACAAAAATAAAAAACATGACCACACATTTCCCTGTACATTCATGCAAGCTTGGTACAATGTGAAAAGAACATACACAAATCACCCTTTTCAGGGTCAAAAGCTCACAAAAATGGCTGATCAGTATGAGAAAAGCCGGCACCAGTCACAAGGTCCATGGCAAACTACAAAACTAAGGAATGCTGGAGACCTCATTTTTCTTGTAACAATGCAGGGATGTTGATGTTCCAGCCAATGGCTTGCCTGTCAAAGCCGCAGGTGAACAGATTGCACATGGGGTGGTCTTCACTCCAGGCTGAGCAGCACACCATTCTTCTGTGGCCCTAGTACCAATCACACAAACAGAATTAGTGTGTTATCCCTGAAGCATGAGTGCTACAAAACTTCAGCCAAATTAACAACTATACCACTCAAAGCCACTGAATTGAAAGAAAAAAATTAACACAAGAAATGAGTCAAAGTGAGTCATAAATACTAAGCATGGAATCAGGCTTTGATGATGTGCTGGCAGAAAAGCCTCAATAAAATGAGTGAGAGAGAACACGTGATGAATTTAGTAAGACACACCAATGCACTTTATAATTCTTTTAACAAAATGAGCAAGCACAAAAGGTGCCAAGTCAGGAAAAGAGGAGGACTTGCTGAAGAGCTGCCATTTCTTCCACCTTCAGTCTCTGCATCTTTTGCAGAGCTTCCATCTGCGCTATCTGGGGACAGAGCATATTGAGGGGCACCACCTCTGTGGCCTGCAGAAGCCTTACAGGAGGGCCCAGAGAAGGATTTGTCATTTTCAGTGGAAAACAAATGAAAGTTATTAATTATGATAACTGTGTGCTTTGGTTCTGGATTTGTTGGACATTTTCTTTATAATAAGATAACAACAACTCAAGAAATAAGGATGATTTAGTTTATCCAAGAGATGCTTAAAGAGCAGCATTTTAAGAAGTACAATTTCTTTGAAATACCACTCTTGAACTCCGCATTCTGAGTTTACTTATGGTTGTAAATAAGCTTGGGAAATCTATCCTTAATGCCTCTTTGAAATACAATTTTTTTCAAAAATGAGGAAGATCATACAGACAGAAAAAATAATGATCAATAGAAATTTTTAAATGAATAAATGAAGCTAGATGATATTTGAGAATAAATTAAATGAAATTCACTCAGAGATGTCAAATGCCATTTTAACAAATAATTGGTTCAGGTAACAAAGGAACTAGAAAAATACATTTGGTGCCAAATAAAACGAGGATAAAATAAATGACCTATCAAGTAAATTCCTGTCATCTTCAGGAATTCCAGTTAAATATCAGAATGTGAGGAAAACTTACTACAAAATATTTGTGAAGTTTTTAATAAGACACACTTGATGAATATGTAGAGAGCAAGCAATGTCTTAAGATATATTCTTATGTTCTAAATTAATATGAAAGCTCTAATACACTGTCATCACTGTGTTTACACACAATAAACACATTTAAGGAAAGCTGACAAACTAAGTAAAAGAAACACTCAAAGAATGACACAAAATTCCCCTCTGCAAAACATTCCCATCAACAGCGCTATCTACATATTTGAGAGGAAAACAAACAGGTCATAAGAAAGGAAGCCACACAAGGAAGGGTCACAAAAGTTCTCCTATTGTTTTTCTCTTTAATAACTTTAAAAATGAACACCACATCTATTAACTGCAATAAAATCAAGTCTCTGGACAAGAATTAATCAAAGATGATAAGCTCAAGGCCCTCACCTCACCCAGGGACAAGGGATCACCTACTTGAAGGCTCCACACCCTCTCAAGAGTCAAGAAGATTAAAAGCCCTCTTAAAATAAAAGCCCTGCTTGCTTTCTATAAGCCTACATCTTACAAAGGCACTGTACCACAGAACCTTCCTTCCTGTAATTCCTGTTAACACGTCACTTATACTTTCCCAAAGTAAAACACTTTTAAACTTTTACATCATTAGCTCATTTCATTCTAGCTAGTAAGTTCAAGTAAATGATGATACTGTTTTCTCTTTTTAAAATGTGAGTTGAAAGAAGCTGGGATAATATAGCCCAGGGATTTCTATCTGAGCTTCAGTGCCTGAAAACCTTATTTATTTATCTGCTAAACGTTCAGATTGAAGGATTGAAGTCAAATGTTTCTCATTAATACCACTCACTTTAGGAGGGAATAAATTCAAGCATAGTAGAGTTCTAGAATTTCAACAAGGGGAAAGTTTACAGATAATTAAGAAGTGCAATGGCTTCCAGGGAATTAGTACCTAGAATGGCTTAGAACTATTTTAAGGGAAAATATTCTCAAAGTAAAGAAATCTTACACACACATACAACATGTGTGTTTCAAAATGCAGAATTTCATGTTGTATAGCAATTTTATTTAACTCACATAAACACATTCAAAGGAACTATGTTAAAGATGCAGCTTAAGTGTTTTATCAATGATATTCAGCAGTTGCCAAACTGTAAATTTCCCCTGGACAAGCAATTTATTAGGTGATGCTCTTTTCAGTTACTCTAATTTGAAGAGTAGTTTTTCCACTACGTGTGCTAAAAGAATTAAAAGCTCAGTACATAAAGTGAAACAACACAAGAACAGCTAGCCATGAAGGGCCAGAGTGGCAGATGCAGCCCCACCTCAGGGACAGAGAATTCTTGGAAAACTGGTCACTTTAAGGAAAAGGTACAACTATGTTGGCAGCAGATCCTCTGGTACAATTCATTTCCAAAACTATCCGGCTTCAGGTCTATAGCTTCTGAAGCCACACCCACCAAAGAGCCAGCTGCAGCTCAGTCAGGAGCTGCACAACGAGGCCTTGCACCCTGAAGGGTCTACACCAAAAGGCACTCGGGCAGCAGGGGTGGAGAACACTGGCGCATGCAGACACACTGGCGGCAGCACAGGGAACCTTGGCTTATCCACCACACAGCAGTCAGGGCACATGCAGAAGAAGCAAAGCAAGCAAAGACTATGGCAACCATGTGGTGGGGCTCAAGTGAGTACAAGTGCGCAGAAAGGGCTGCCTTGACAAGGGGTGGCATTGCAGAGATCGCAGCTACCTCCATACCCTGTGGAGGGGGGCTGAGTAGTCACCTGCTCAGACACTCAGGCCCTCAGGCTTCAAGTCACCCAAGGGACAGATCTAACAAGGGGTTCCTGGTGCCCCCAGAGATTCTGATCTAGTAAGTCTGAGCTCAATTCTTATCACAAATTCCAAGATAACTGATGAGCAGTCCAAACACCATACTCAACTAAGCCCTGACCCAACTCCTAGTCCCTGACCCAGCACATCATCTGGGCTGAACAAGGAGCAGTGACCAGCTCACAAAAAAAGCTGCATTTAAAATGAGTGTCTTCTTGTTCTGGTGATCAGCCATGGAAAGTGGTTTTCTGACTGAGGATACAGATTGGGGTTCTTTCTAAAGCACCACCACTGCTTCTGCTTGACTACATTAAATTCTTATCATTTAATATGTTTCCAGATTGTATAAATCCAATTGCAAATATCAAAGACTGCTTTCCAAGAGGGTAGCCACTAACACATTCACAAAGGAGCTCTAAAAACGTGTGAAACTGAGGAGCTAAACATTTAATTTTACTTAAGTTTAAACTTAAAACTCATGCTCAGTTCAGCAACTGGGAAACATTTTTGACTTTAGACTTTATGAACTCCAAACACAGATCAAGTATGTCCAATAAAAATCTAGCATTCAAAGATCTATTAAGAAAATAAGAATGTATATTCTCTAACATTTTATATTGATTACATGTTGAAATTACATTATTACAGATATATTTGGGTAAATAAAATACATTGTAAAAATTAATTTTTTAACGTGGATATTAGAAAACATAAAATATATAGAGGGTTCAAGCTGTATTTCTATTAGACAGTGATGATCTATGATGTACAATCCAAGTTCTTCCCAAGGTTCTTAGTGAGTACATACATCAACAGCATGGTTACCTGTCGACTGCTGCGGGGAAGCCGCGCTAGCCTCACACCTGACATATCAAACAATCTCACTTGTCGGTTGTCATGTGGAAGGGCAATGATTTTCTGGCCTACGCATACATTGATCCTGCAAAGCGGAGATAAAAATGGGTTATAAAACAATGACAGCCTAAGTTTTTGAGCTTAAAGATTATGATGCAGTAGGATATTTCTTACTATTTACATTTTAAGGCAAAACTACAGCAAACTACAGGTAGCATCTATCCACAGAATAGAGATAAAAGCCCTATCAAGTTTGACCATGAGTGGCTCACTCTTAATCTTACAAGACCTGTGACACCAACCTGATTTTATACTCACGTTTTAGTATTTGGGGAATCCTGAACTTGCATTAAAGGATCAATAAAAAGTATTTTCCTGGGCCTCCCCGGTGGCGCACAGGTTGAGCACAGTGCTGTGAAGCTGTCTACAGCCTCCGCAGTACCAGTTCGATTCCCAGCCGGCCAGGGAGAATCCCACATGGCATGCAGACCTCTCCTGCCACGCCCACTGCTCCCCTCAGTAATGTACTTCGTCAGTCTGCCTGTTCTGCTCCCCGCACTGTCTCTGGTGAATCCTCTCACCCTCCCACGACTCTGGACTGTACCCCAGCTCTCATATAAATAAAAATAAATCTTTAAAAAAAAAAGAAAGTATTTTCCTAAAAGTCTAAGCCACTTTTCCCAAGGTATGATAGGTTTAACCCTAAGTTTATAAGAACAACACATTATATTACAATCAGCCCTTTCAGGTCAAGCTAAACAATCATGTGATGGGCAGTTTAGTTTCCTTACCTGTTGATGGCAGAGTCTGTACGAATAGTTGCAATGGGGGACCTCATATTTTTTAAATCCCAGACCTTCACAGTGCGGTCATCACTGCCTGAAACAACATTATCTCCAACGGTGAAGACAGCAGAGGTCACAGTACTACAAATAAAGGACATAGGGTAAGAATCTCATCAATAAGCTCAGGATACAGGGGTCTCCCCTGGTGGCACAGGTGGTTGAGCGCCGCACTGTGAAGCTGTCCGTAGCCTCTGCAGTGTTGGTTTGATCCCGGCCGGCAGGCAAGGGTCACACATGGCATACCAGACCTCTCCTGTCTCGCCCGCTGCTCCCCTCAGCAGTGTATTTCATAGTCTGCCTGTTCTGTTCCCCGCTCTGTCTCTGGTGAATCCTCTCATCCTCCCGCACATCTGGTCTGTACCCTGGTTCTTATATAAATAAAATAAATAAATCTTTAAAAAAAAAAAAAAAAAGCTCAGGATAGACATGAGTTCTGTCCATATATTGCATAGTAAAGGCATGGTTGCAGTGACAGAGATTCTGGCAGGGAGTGGGTAGGGGATCAGAGATGCAATTTCTTCTATCCTATAATTGTTCCTCTTTGCTTAAACAATTCCTGCACTATCACAACAGCCAAGTTATGGGAACAAGTAAAGTGTCTGTGGATGGATAAATGGATATATAAAATGTGGTATATACACACACCAGATATTACTCAGCCATGAAAACGAAGAAAATCCTGCCACTTGTGACAACATGGATGAACCTTCACTTACCATCATGCTAAGTGACGTAAGTCAGAAAATGATGATGCTATATGATCTCACTGATGTAAATCTACAAAATAAAACTACTCACAGAAATACAGTAGAGTGGGGGCACCAGAGTCTTGGGGGTGTGAGGGTAATGAAGAGATACTAATCAAAGGTACAAACTTCCAGTTAAAAGATTAGAAAGTTCTGGGATCTAAAGTACAACACAGTAACTATAATTAACAATACTTCACTTCATACTGGAAATCTGCTGAGAGTAGAGATATTAAGTTTTCTCACCACACATACACACACACACACACACACACACACACACACACTAATTATGTAAGGTGGCAGATATGTTAAAATTAGTTTGATTGCAGTGATCGTTTCATAACATATACATCAAGTCATCACATTATACATCTAAAATATATTCATTTTTCATGTCAATTACACCTCAATAAAGCAGGAAAAATAATTTGTTGAATAACAAGAAAGAAAAAAGAAAATGGTCTCATATATTCCTTAGACAATTTTGGCCCTAAATAACAACCTCCCAGGATAGTTAAGAGCCATATTTTTTAGAGCCCTGAAAACTAACAGCACATATTTAACATATACGACCTCATTATTTCTCACAATAATTTCAAACTACTTTTATTTCACTTAGAGTCTAACACAGGAAATAAACTCCACAGGTTCAGAAAACCCAAATCCAACCAAACCTCAGATGTACAACTGCTCTACCAGAAAATACACAAAAGTCAAAACTGCAGAGTACAAACCAGAGTAATGCTGTCAACTTCAGCACTACTGGCAATGAAGGACCACTCTGTGCACGTAGGGGTGAGCATACTCCCAGTCTCTGCCCATCCACCCCCCTCAGAAATGGTCCAATGGCAGGCACCATGCTATACCCAAAGGGGCACAGAGAAAAGACCTCCTGCAGGAGGCTGTGAAGGACACAGGGAGCAGGCAAAGACAAAGCAATCCGGACAATGACCCAATGGCCCACCTGAACTCCCTATGGAAAACTGAGAACAAGGCAAATGTTACACTAGAAATGGGGTGCTGCTGAAAGGCACAGGTCACGTGGCTCTGGAAAAGCGTCACTACTGGCAGAGATTTAGAGCAAGTGCACAGAGCTTGTGATTTGTCTCTGCACTGCATTCTTCAGAAGGTTTTTGCCAAGTTAAATTTTCAGTTAACATTCTGCTAAATTAATGAAAAAAAGGCCTCCACAAAAGACCGCTAACCCTATGTTAATGAAATGCTGAAAGACATTTGGTTTTTAATAAATCACAATCCTGACAGGTATTGTGGGGCATCAAAGGGAGACTGGCAAGGAGGCGGTTGTTTTAAAGGCACCCTCAGACCTAGGTCCCGCGGGAAGCCAAGTGCCACAACCACTCACTGGAAAAGCTCAGACACTGCAAACTCCAGCCAACTCATTTATCTTGTCGCAAAGAGCAGTCGAGCATGTGCTTCCAGCTGACAGCGTGGTACCTCCTCGCCGCACACCACTGCCTGATCTGGAACATTCCGATCCCTCCGTGGGTCTCAATCAATGAAAGACTGTAGCGCTAGCACTCCTCATTAGGACTAACAGCTGTCTCCCCATCACACAGAGACACAAAACTGTTTTGCATAACAATCTGCTGGAATTTCACGGCTAAGAAAAAAATATACGATGTGGAAAATGCTGCAGCAGGGTGCTCTTTTTGGCTCCACCTCAGAAAATGCTGCAAAACTCCCATTTCTTATTTTGAAGAAGTAGCTTCCTACAAAACAAAGCACTGCATTTACCTCTGAAGACTAGAGCAGAACAATCAGCACTCCAGAAGAGGATGCAGGACAGGAGGGCTCTTCCTCGGAATAGTGGCTGTCAGCTCTGCTCACAGAAGGCCATACTTGAAGCATCTGCGTGGGTGTCAGTGTGACTTCTTCCTTGCGCCAGCTATCACCCAGGCATACTATGTGTTCACATAAAAGTGCAAATAACACCTGTATGGACATGGCAGAGGGACCGCCAAAACAGAACTCCCTCATGTAAACAGGCGACTGTGACTACACCCCATGTACAAAGTGGTCCAATGCCACATTCTTTCCCAACTATCATTTTCCACACAGTTTTTTAAAAGCTGAACTTTTGGCACATGAAACAAGTCTTCACTCTCAACAGCTTAAATAACTGACATTTGCCAATCTTGAAAAGCAGGTGCTTCTTTTGTCTTTTACAATCACATTTGCTTTTCAGAATTTAAAGAACTCACATCAGTCATATTTTAAGATCTCAGACACATTAAAGAGAAAGAGAACTAATCTCCAAATAAAACATATTCTGAATATTCCTGGAAGGCTAACTCCCCAAAATAGTAGATAGACATAAAAAACAAGTAAAAGTCAAACTTGGATCACACGTGATTTTTTTTCAGGATTTAATTTCAACTAGTCCCTGGGGAAAAAAAGACATTACTTCACCTTACATGCAGCCAAACAGGACCTTCCCTCTCCAGGAATAACTGAGAGATTTCCAGCCTAAACTGCTGAGAGGACTGAGCCACAGAACTGTTCACTGACAACTATTTCCTGAACACCTACTGTGCACCAGGTCCTGCTTGTATGACAACATGCAGCAGAGAAGAGGCTTCAATGTATTGTCCAGTATTGCTTCAATGTATATGTCCAGTGGAAGTGACCCACGTCACACAAAATATGTACTGATGTGTATATATAAAATAAGCAACAAGTGACCTCCAACTGATGCAGAAGTGGTTGCTGCTTAAGTAACTATGCTGAAGAACAACTATTTTAAAATGAAAAATTTGATTTATTCACAGAAGGACACTGAAAGAGAGAGATCAGTTGGCACCAGGAAGCATACAGACGTTCCACACTTCAGCAGGGAAGGTGACTGAAAGTCAAATTTCACTTTTTTTTAAAAAGATTTATTTATTTATTTATACAAGCACTGGGTATAGTCAGAAGCACAGGAGGGTGAGAGAATTCACCAGAGTCAGAGCGGGGAGCAGAACAGGCAGAAGGACCAAAGTACACTGCTGAGGGGAGCAGCGGGCGGCAGGAGAGGTCTGCGTGCCATGTGGGACCCTCGCTTGGAGGCCAGGGATCAAACCGGCGCTGCAGAGGCTGCGGGCAGCTTTGCAACCCAGCACTCAACCGCTGCACCACCGGGGAGGCCCCAAATTTCACTTTTAAAAGTTCAGAATTCATTATTATCTCAGTCCTTCAACATCCTGTACTTCCTTATTCGTTAAGAAGAGCCAGGCAGGTGAGCACCTCCTGCTTCTCTAGCACAAGATTCCCACGTGGTCCTAGGGGCCAAGGTCTGCAAGCACACAGCATCCTGTCACCTGAATGAGCCATAGCAGTTCTCTACACTAAACCCCACCCCTCTGAGGGATACACCCTGCATTGCTTGCTCCCCTTCCCACCACTACAAACCCCCACTCCCTACTGTAGCTGACCCACACATCCCCATCCTAAACAACAAATCCTCCTGACCCACCTCTCCACTCCCTGGGCAGCAGCCACCCTGCAGGTCTCACCATTCCACAGAAACGCTGCGTCCAGGCTGCCTTGAGAGTCATGGCTCATGGCCACCCACAGGACACCTGCGCAGCGGGGAGCCCACCTCCCCTCCTTCTGCATCCACTTCTTCACTCAGCCTCGCAGTCCACACTTGCTCTTCCTACTCAACAGCTGTTCTGTCCCATCATCCCTGGGAAAAAGCAACTATCTGACTCATGTTGTTCTTAAATGGCAACTCAGGTCATCAAGAAGTAATGCCTCTCCCTCAGGAAACTTTCCAACCGTGTAGTAGGTATTATAGATGTTGAAATAACTCCTTCTTGTAAAAGGCACTCTTTTATATAAATATAAATTTGTATACATTGTTTTTAATTCTCCCCACAGCCATTATTATCGAGAAAGTAGAATACCAAGCAATACTTGAATGGCAACTTTAAGCTATGACACCCTCCTTCTCAAATTGGACAAAACAACATTTTGAGTAATCTTTTTTGTTGTTAATCCAAATTAAGCTCACTTTATTAAATAATTTATGCTTATTATTTAATGCCTAAAAATAAGGTTCTAAGTTAAGCTCAATAATAATGGGGCACAGGGCCTCCCCAGTAGGGCAGCAGTTGAGCGCTGGGTTGCAAAGCTGCCCACAGCCTCTGCAGGGCCGGTTCAATCCCCGGCCACCGGGCGAGGATCCCACATGGCGCGCAGACCTCTCCTGCCGCCCGCTGCTCCCCTCAGCAGTGTATTTCGTCAGTCTGCCTGCTCTGCGCCTCTCTGACTCTGGTGAATTCTCTCGCCCTCCCACGCTTCTGACTGTACCCAGTGCTTGTATAAATA